GGCGCGCGAAGATCGAAGCCTCTCTCGGTACCTGATTTATTACCGCGCCTACCGAATGTGAAACGCATGGTTAGCCGCGATGTCCATTCAACCCATGGCATATCTGGTGTGGCACAGCAAGCCCAAGGATGATGGCATTACCAGCTTCTTGTTCATCCTTGTTAAACGTAGATAGCCTGGGCCGCCGAAAACCCGCCGCGTTACGCTTCGTCCCGGCACTACTGTGTAGGGATGCGAGGTCCATGGTCTACCGACCACCGCATGCGTTTCCATCAGTACACCCCTGAATAACCACAACAACGACTGGGGGGGGCACGTTTCGATCCAACGGTCCTCCTCCCGCCTGCCGCTAATCTCGCCGCACGCGCCAACTTGTGCATACTACAGGAGGAACAGACGGGCGTTACCGTTTCGTTCTACTTCATCTGCCTCCTTCACCTGGCCAACGAGAAGGGGCTGAAGCTGGAGGGGCGAGACGACCTCTTGGACTTTTCGGTGGCAAGCGACCCTGTCAAGGAAGGCTCGTGCTAAACCTTGCTCCGCACCTTGGCGAAAACGGTGGAGGTGTGTATTGTATCTGTTGTTGTTGTTGTTGGTGGTGTTGTAGTTGTTCGCGTTGACGGCGCTAACCGGCTGATCGATGATAACGGTTCAGCTCCGCGCGGCCTAACTCCTTCTAGAGTGCCATGGTCTGGGGCTTCGTGATGTGTAGGTATCTTGGTTGGTGTGCTTGAAGGAAATAAAACATCGATCGCGCCAATCGGCTGACTACTGACAGCACATCAGTTAGAGTATCGGGTGAATGCCGCGCCTATGGGCCAAGGTGAACCGTTTTCTCTCGGAAAAAACCCTACTGTACCTACGGCGTTGTTGGTGTTCAGGTCCTTTATTTGTATGCACCGAGCGGCTCTTTTTCGTTGTCCTGCTGAACGAACATCATCCGGCGCCGTTTGCCGCCGGCAAGAGGCAGTCAGATGTCACCAGGAAAGACTACTTGTTCATACGTTTCCACCGTGCCCGCGGGGAGAGGGGGTGTTCCACCGGATAGGACGGTGGCATTTTTCGACATCAAGCGAACAATCCCCGCCCCCACTCCCGCACACAGTAGTATTATCCCGCGAGCATTGCGGGAGGGAGGGTTATTCTTGGTAAGTGTTGAGCGCCGGTTCCACGCGCAACAACCGCTTGTTGCGAACGTAAGTCAGCTCGTTGCTGAAGGGGAGAGGTACTTCGCTAACGCCCTCATTGATTCTCTCGCGCGCTCGCCCACCCACTCGCCCGACGGTCGACGTCGTTAACCTGCGTTTGGTTCTGTTTCGACCCGCAGACAGAAGACACACATTTCGTCCTTGGTGTTGGAAAGCGTGCGCGCGCCGAAAGCCGGGGCCCAGGGGGTGCTCCAGGGTGGAGTTTGTTCGATTCTTCGGAGAGGGGACTCCGCCCCGTAGCAATTGCACGGACGGGCTAAACGTACGAAGGATGCAAGGCGGGGTTGTATGTACGCGGAGGGTTTGAAGGCATTGATTGTTGTAAGATATGTGTAGGTCTCGACGTTGCTTGGAGAGGGGGGGCAGAGACTGTTTTTTTTTCGGTCTTCATTCGGTTACTGTACATACCCTTCGATTATGGCATTTAAGTACTGCCAGAATCTGAGGGGTACGTATTGGTATACTACATAGATATTGTAGACGTGGGCCAGGGAGCCTCTGGGTGAAACAAACGTTGGATGTCGCATCATATTCAAATAGTAGACATACACAGTTTGTTGTGGGTATGGGATTTGACTTGCTCTGTCGTATCTGCATACATACCGTATATGACACAAGATAACACACCCCCTGGACCGATTTCCAAAGCTCGATTACTCCACGACGAAGAGGATGCACAAACAAAACGATACATTTTCGAAAATTTCTCGACGAGACGATTCCAACGCTGCCGTTTTCGGCGCCGTGACTCTTCCTGCTGTTGAGAAATCGAGCTTTGAAAATCGGCCAAGGGTGTGTGTTATCTTGTGTCATATACGGTACATGCACACATGCATGCATTTGAACCCCGAGCGGGTGGGCTGCTGTAACAGCGCTGCTATGGTTATTTGATTGAGTGCGAGGATCGATCATTACGGCTGCTCTAGGTAAGGTTAGCAGGTAGGCTATGGCGCAGATAGAACTTCTCTGAGGGTGATTTAACTTAACGGCCTCTCCCTGAAGGAGGAGCCCCTCACTCATCGTTCACTCTGCAGACCCCGTCACCACTCGAGAACCTACGTGTAGTACCTATACCTACCTGTTGTTTTTTTCCGAGGCTTGTTTCTTTCTTTGTCAAGAGGTAGACTACCCCGACGTCGACAATATAGGTTTAGTGTAGGCTTGTTGACTGAATTCTCAAGAAGAAACTCGAAGTCCCCTCTGTCCCGTTGTGTATACCGTTAAAAAAGAGCAAGGCTTGGCTCGCGCTGTTTCACCAGAAGAACAAGTAATTTTTCTTCAGAGGAGTCTTGATCATCAGGCCAGAGGGGTTTCTGTCTGTGTCGTTAGGGTTTTGCCATGATCCACGTGTGTGCAAACCTCACAATGACAATTAATTTATTGCCAAGGGGACAGAGTACAAATAAATACATTTTCCGGTTGATTGATTGGCGTTTTCATTCTCTTCTTCCTCGTTCGCGGGTCTTCTTTCCTTGTATAATATAGCTACATTCACTCATGACACACACACGCGCTTTTTTTCACATACATACAACGAACCATGCATCCACAAAGAATGACGATCCTCTACTCAACAGACTTATTGCTGCAGGTAGAACGCGAGCGATGCTCTTCATCAACAACTAATAATATATCCAGTTCGCGTGTGATCGGCCGAGATGCGAACTGAGATGAGACATCCTGAGATCCAATTATTCTATCAGTTCCATTTTTACTGCAAGGAAAAGGGGGGGTGACCACCACCACCACCATCGATAAAGGTTTGTTTATTGTAGTACCATTCATTGATGTGTCCGTGAGGAAGTAAGTAAGTGTGTTTCGTTCCCCACCTCTTGACTCCAGCGGCACATTCTACATCGATCGCACCTTTCTGCTGTATGTAGTATGTACCAATATTCTATCAGCCGAGGGGTCACAGCTAGCTGCTACATACAGCTTGCTTGTTGTGTAGTCACACGACCAAGTAAAAGAGAGAGGTGGAGATTCTGACGGATGGATGCGGAAAACGGCAAAATAGAACACGTACGTGCCGATGATCTATCTCCAGCAGCAGTGTATGCCAAAACAAATAAATAAACGAACGAGGAGTGCGTACGCACGAGGGTTATACATGGGCAGCAGGTAGTCTTACCCCCAAACAACAACAAACGTTAACTTTCAAAAAACAAACGCTGTCGATGTCCTCTGCTCGACAAAGACATGCAATAATACCAAAGATATGTAGTGTGTGCATAGTATCATACACAAAAGAACCACACGTTTGAGTGCAAGAAGAACTTGATTGGGCAGGCGGGAACATAATATCCGCAAGGCGGAGAAATCGTGGAAATCAAATGAGCGGCTGTGGGGCGGCTGCATGCAGCCGCTTGTCGAAATAAATGGAAAGGAAACACACCGAAGGCACACAGTTTGTTTGTTCCACACGAAGGGCCATCGGTATGCAGCCCTTGCTCTTTGGGTTGAATTTGGGGCAGCTTGTCGTCTGGACACCTATAGATACAATCCCTTTTGGACCACACACCACTTTCACATCACATACCATTGTCTCTGGGAAACTACACGGAGAGGACCCGATGGTTGTACGCACCAATTGCACCACGCGGGGAGATAGACTGGATGTTTGTTTGCAATATCAAAATGCGTCGTTTTCGAGAATAATAAGCGTATGTTGTGTGTACTGCTTCGTGGCAATACGCATCCACGATATCAACCCGCAGAGAGGCAGACCAAAATCGAATCCTTCGATATCTACCTCTACTCCCCTACATGACGGTGGGGGTGGCACCCTTCTACACCGGACGGCAGCTCAGCAGCAGGTGTGTGCAATGATTGCCTCAAGCCCATCTGGTATCATCCAGCAAGCAATCCACGCACCCTTTTTTTCGTTAAGATCAAGATTCTTTTGCGAAAGATCTGATTGTTTGCGTACACCCGCTTTTCGAAAGATAGCCCGAACAAGGTACTACTTTTTTTTTTTTGTTCTTCCTCGGCGCTCTATTCTGTTCGTCTTTGACTCGCATCCAGTCTACGTCTGCTGTTCGGACCACTCGCGTGTAATCACCACATTAGGGCGGTGTACGCGTAGGGAGAGTGCGCCAGCAGGGAAGGCGCTCAGGTTGGATACCTATCCTCCGGTGCCGCGTTGCCCAAGGAGAATCGGTCCATCCTGCCTAATCTTCTGTGTTGCGTTTTGTGTGAGAGGAGATACAGCAGTAGATACAAGAGCGGGGGCGAGAACCAGGCTGCTGCACAAAATATGGCGATTTTGAGGATGGCTGCCGCAGGGCTGTTAGGCCTTGCGTCCTCCGCGTGGGCTGCGACCGTCACGGTGGACCTCCAGCCGTGTATCCTGGCCCCCAGCACAATTGTGAGTGTGTGGTGTCCATCCAGTGTTCGCTGTGTCCTCGTTGTTGAAGGAACCAATCGCTGCACTTGCTTGCATCCATACAGCTTGCCCCTCGCTGGTGTCAACTGGCTGGCCGCAGGTCCAGCTGTCCGCCATTTCACTCGTTCGAGGAACAAGCTGAGGTTTTGCGGGGCACGGCGCTGTGCTCTCTCCTGTCCCCGCTACCATTCGGTGGACACCTGCGCGCACTTCTGTGCAACTTGTCTACGTCCGCTATGTTGCTCACATTCAACCAAAAAGGGACCGGGGATTCTCAAAAATCGGTGGATGATGTACACGGGGGGACTTTCTACCAGGCTCTCGCCCTAATTCAATTCAGCGAGAAGATGTTTGTATCTTTCCCGGAACACAGCACAATGACACACCAAAGAGCTGACACGCTAGGCAGCGACCCAGACGTTGCATAGCGGAGAGGCGTCGCCACACCATCTTCTTTGCGTGTCAGGCTCATCAGCAAGAAGAGAGGCAGATGCCCCCGCCCGGTGTATGGGTGTGTCATCGAATGTTAGGCCGACCGTTAGGTATTCAGCTTGCTTGGATATTCTTCAACGAACTAGAATAATATCGGACTGGCGTTTACATATGACACCGTAGGAAGGGGTCCAACCCCCCCCCTCCTATGTGATCCCGGTTGGGTCGTCTGGCTAGTAGAAGTGGAGGATAGGGGACAGAGGGGCAGACGACAGCATCCAATGATGGGAGAAAAAAAAAAAGAAAAAAAAAAGATGACACCACGCAATCCAGCAGCGGCGTGCACCAGCTGCCGGCATGATTTTTTTTTTTTGTATCCGGCGGGTACAACATCGGGTTGTCGGGTTGTTGGGTACCAGGTATGTCCTACTGCCCGAATTGGTTGACCAATCAAACGACGCGGTTTTGTCAGCACCACCAAAACCGGAAAATGCTTCCATGAATTACACAAGGAAGGTCTGTGTAGTCGCGAGGGCTAAACGCCAGGATCTGGGAACCCGAGTCCAGTCAAACGACGCGGTATTCTCAGTGCGGCCGAAATCGGAAAATGCTTCTTATGCAAGTTATGTGTAGTCTCGAGGGCTAAAGGCCAAGATCTGGGAACCCCGTCAGCGGGCTTCATGGGGGAGGCAATATAGTGCTCTCCGGAGTTAAGACAGAAACGAACGACAGTAAACGAATAGAACTGCGCGTGTGATGTGGGTGTGTGTGTTCGCGCTTTCCGTTCCTTCTTAATGTTTTGCCCTGTCGGTCCATGCTTGCTTGTGCACGCCGCCTCAATGTGACCATTCCGGAGACTATCATCGATACAGACACGTAGCAATTATTAAGTTCCTTACGAAGGGTGGTGTTTGTGTTGGTCTGGAAAGGAGTTTGCATCTCGGATGTTCGAAGGAACGGTATCTATCATGCAGATCGGAACAACGGTTCATTTGTAGACGACGACGACAACGACTTCCACGACGACAACGGCTTCCACGACGACAACGGCAACATTGTCAGGTTGCACTTCGAATTAACGCCTTGGGTTAGGGGCGCTCAATGAAAGCCCCTTGGGCGTGGGTCGGCCGAGCATCTGGTCAAAGTATACTTTACCACGGTGCGGATCCAAAGAGCGGTATTGTAGGGTAAGGTTGGGCGAAAAAGGCAATGCTGTGAACACAACCGACTATGATTATGATGATGATACCCGGGGCGATTCTTAGTTAAATCGTGGGGCTTCACCACAAGACGTGCAGAAACGCAACTCTTCTTTTTTTCCGCGGGGTGAGTGGGCGGCGTTTTCTCCAAGGGAGTTATGTAGTTCCCGCGCTGTTCCACATGGGGAGAGGGGGGGGGGAGGAAGGAAGGAAGCGAGAAAACAACCCTTTCGATCCAAATCAGTTGTTGCGTTCTCGACTGGTCCTAGCTGTCGGCTCGAGCATGTGCCCACGCAGCAGTCGAAATTTTCGTTGAGCCCATCCATCCATGTGCCCCACCCCACCCCGCGGGAGGGCCTACTTCTGTGTAGTTTTTTATGACAAACATGGCTCCTCTTTTTTTTTTGGCCTTCTTGAAACGTTTTTCTCCAGACCCAGGACAATGGAGACACGCCAGACGCCTACGTGACGTCTACCTTCTACCAGGGCTACTGGGGGGCAACTCAGGTAACTATTTTAGTTTGGGGTGTGCTGGTGTGTCGTCGTGGTCATCATCAGCCGTTGAATATGGTACTACGTCGCGTTCGGTCTTCTTGCTCGTCTTGTTTTTGTCTCCGCCGCCCAAATCGGCGAAAAATATTTCAAAAACCCGTCAGTATGTCGGACCTTACATATGACGACCCTCGTTAATGTTGCCGTGGAGTTCAGCGTGAAAGCGGGGGGACTGCAGAAAAAAACTCGTGTCTCTTGTTTGCTGATGCCAACGGTCTCAGTATTTTCCGGTTCTTTTCTGCGGAGCAAGCAGCATGGTTTTCCCTTTGCAAGACCTTCTGTGTCCCGTCGAGAATTCTCACGCCCCCCCCCACCAAAACATGGACCGATCGTGTACGATGTAGTATGCCTGCCGCACACGCGAATTTCACTAAAGAGTCTTGCCTCCTCCTCCTCCTCCTCCTCCCCCCACTCCCCCCGCCCGTCCTTGTCCTTGGTTCGACCCTCCCGTTCTCCTCCCCCTGCTCACACCCGCCCTTGTCCTTCCCCCCCTCTCCTCAGCTGACCTCGACGGGGACGAGCGACCTCACCAACTCGGGCACCTCCGGTAAGTGCAACGTCGTCTACGTCGGCATCCCGGTCACCGAGGCGCAGAAGCTCGAGCTGCAGGACTACTCGCGGACCTTCAAGGTGCGCATCGTGTACTTCAACGCCGCCGAGACCGCCAACGACCCGGAGGTTAACTCTCGCCTCGGCATCTCGCAGGACTTCTCGGAGCCCCTCATCTCCGCCCCTTTCATCGCCCTCGCCAGTGAGTCCAGAAAACATGCTGCGGGTCATCCACTGCTTTTGTAGTTTTCTCCTGGACTCTCATCTTGGGGATAGAGATGGAGTCGTTGTTTTTTTTTAGGGAAATAGACACAAGTGGGTATACCCACCCCTTTCTCGGACAAAAGTGGGTACTCGAAAATCCAGCGCGCGCGCACTCCATAGGCGACCCCCAAACGACTCAAAACCCCATTCTGACACCTGGGCGACACAGCCAGGGACCATACACAGCACGGGCATCGTTTTTCCCACTTTTAGGCACACCTTTGGCCCTAATACCGCCGACGCGCGCAAGGCCTCATCAAAGTGCCCACTTATGTCCGACATCGCGGTGGGTATACCCACCGGCGTCAACAATTTTTTCATGTACCCAGTTGTGTCTGTATTTTGACCCACTTTTGTCCAAATTGTACCCACTTTTTTTGTCCACTTACGGACGGCGGAAATCGAGCGGAAATCGACCTCCACGTCACCGCACGGGAGAACATCGAATAGCCTCGGAACGTCTCAGAACCTCCCAACACCGTATGTATCCATGGCATATTTCCTATCCATGGCTGCCGACTGCGGGCCGACCACGGAGGAACATGTCAGAAACATGCCAAACCCCTTCGGTACGGGCACGGGAAGATACCAGGCACGGGAAGATACCCGCGGCAAGCCTACTGTTGCCGTGACGAGTCGGTGTGCACTCGTCGTGGTGGTTGGTGTTTTTGTGTGTGTGTTGTTGCTGTTTGCGCGTCTTTTTGTTCTGTATGCGCGACCCGTTGGTTGTGTTGTCCGTTGTGTGTCACGCATTTATTTGTGGCGTGCCGTTAGTGCGCTGCTTGCCGGGCTTGCCGCGGGTATCTTCGCTTGCCTGGTGTCTTCCCGTGCCGGTACCGAAGGGGTCTGGCATGTTTCTGACATGTTCGTCCGTGGTCGGTCCGCAGTCGGCAGCCATGGATAGGAAATATGCCATGGATACATACGGTGTTGGGAGGTTCTGAGACGTTCCGAGGCTATTCGATGTTCTCCCGTGCGGTGACGTGGAGGTCGATTTCCGCTCGATTTCCGCCGTCCGTAAGTGGACAAAAAAAGTGGGTACAATTTGGACAAATATGGGTCAAAATACAGACACAAGTGGGTACATGAAAAAATTGTTGACGCCGGTGGGTATACCCACCGCGATGTCGGACATAAGTGGGCACTCTGGTGAGGCCTTGCGCGCGTCGGCGGTATTAGGGCCAAAGGTGTGCCTAAAAGTGGGAAAAACGATGCCCGTGCTGTGTATGGTCCCTGGCTGTGTCGCCCAGGTGTCAGAATGGGGTTTTGAGTCGTTTGGGGGTCGCCTATGGAGTGCGCGCGCGCTGGATTTTCGAGTACCCACTTTTGTCCGAGAAAGGGGTGGGTATACCCACTTGTGTCTATTTCCCTTTTATTTATGAGAACAAAACTGCTGTTGGGTGGGTCTCCTTGCCTTGCTTTGTGTTGAAAGAAAGGATGTGTGGTGCAGCAGCAGTTGTACCCTTGTGGGGGGTGTTTTTTTCGTATTTCCCAGGCCTTGCCTTGCTTCGTTTTCAGAAGGAAGTTGTGGTACGGCAGTGCATAGTAGTAGAGCTGCGTCCGCCTCAGTGCTGGACCGGTTTCGTGAGCTGAGACCGGAACAGTTTGTAGAGTGAACACGGCGGCGGAGGCAACTTGCACGCGAGCACGCTGCGGGGATGAGCAGCAGCAGCAGCAGCAGCAGTAGCAGCAGCAGCAGCAGCAGCAGCAGCTGCGTGGAACTTTGTCCGGCTACGGTGCTGGTGTTCTCCATGCCAAGTTGATCCCCACGTCGCTCTTGGAAACGGACGTGACGTGATGTGCGGTGTTTTCTCTTTGAGGGAGGTTCGTTTTCCTTCCCACTTCTCGTGGGGGGAGGGGTGGAGGTGTACTCGTAGCCGTGCATTCCGTAGTCGTTAGACCATTGACCTCGCATTCCTACGAAACCGGGACGGAGCACGCCGGGTTATCATAGACGGACCAGGCTACCACATGACCAAGCGCGCAACCGCCGTGAGGTATTCGGCGAGTCGCATGGAGGGTGGCGCCGCATCCTGCCTTGGGTGTTCGACATGTTATGATTACTCTCGTTGGGGGTGGGGGGGGTTCGGCTTCAACGGACGGGGTGGGACGTCCGCCTACATTCATTACATGCACTTCCGTGGATCCATGTGTAACTTATTTCCATGCGGACTCACGTTCCACTAGTTTCGTGGTTCGGCTCTCACGGAGGACCCCGTCGCGAGTTATCTAGCTAGCTCATGGGTAAGTTTGTTGCACTGTAGACACGATCGAAGCGGGATGGTTCCTTCCATGTTGTGGTCGTCGTCTTTGTTGTTGTTGTTGTTGTTGTTGTTGTTGTTGTTGTTGTTGTTGTCGTCGTGGCGGACGTTGTTATTAGTATTACCCCCACCCCCGGTCTTGTCGGAACAATACTCCGTCCTCTCGAGGACTCGCGGTCAATGGTCTAACCGCTAAAGCATGCTGCCAAACATGAGTTCGCCCTCCCCCCGCTTGGTTGTGTTTCTGCGGTGCCTCCTCTACTCCTCAGCCGGGGGCGCCGCGGTTGCCCGCGTGGTGCCGTCCACCCTCACCACCAACCCGCGGGAGTTCAACATCTTCACGAGGCCGGTGCTGGTCACCAACTTGGCAACCACCGGAAACGGCACCGCCACGGTCATGGCTGAGTGAGTTTTTAGTGTTGTTGCGTTTCCTTCTTCCGTGTGTGTTTTTTATTATTATGTTGGCATCGACCGCGTCACATAGATGGCCGGCTGACCAATGAAAACGCGTCTCTCGTGTGTGTTTTTATTACTAGCATCGACCGCGCTATCCGTAGACAATTCTTTTTGTTTTTGCCATTTCGATACCACAACCTCTCCCACAGATGTAGCTGGACATCGGTACCTTTTCAACACAATCAACAACACTTCTTGGAGAACCGATACGGGACAATCACCAAGCCCCACAAGCCTACATTCCCGTTACCTTTTTTGTCCCTTCTTCTAGTCTCAGTCTGTACCTACCTGTGATAAACCACCCTCCCCAGCCTGCTAGAGCACTGCTTCTAGAACAGCAGCAAAGAGCTGTGCCGGGATGGTGCGATCGATCGAGACGCCTCCTAAAATATCGGATCAAATACTCATGCTGCCTGCTTTGTAGCGAGAATATCTGTTTTGCGTTATTTTTTCCGCCTTCCGATGCAACCACGACGAACGATCCGGCGTCCTCCGTTCGGAGAGAAACGCTTCGGACGCGGAGTGAGGGTCCGATGTGCAACAAGTAGGTTCTCTCGCGCCCCGGCCTCTGGACACTTGCCGGGGAAACAGAAAGAAAAATATTTTCCGCGCACCCTGACACACGTACACGTGTTTCGAGCCCGGCAAAATGCTCTTGTTGTTGTTGTTGCTGTTGTTGTTGTTGTTGTTGTTGTTGTTGTTGTTGTTGTTGTTGTTGTTGTTGTTGTTGTGGTTGTCGTTGTCGTTGTAGATGTACAACTACTGTGTAGACGGTACACCGTCCGATTTTTTTCCCGTGCTGGTACAATACTGTACATATGCTGTATCTCGCCGCTGGGCTGGCTGTCTGTTGCAACAACAAGTCCCAACTGCGCCCCCCCCCCCCAGGTACGTGGACGACAGCGGGGCCAACGTGCCGAGCAGCCTGTCGTTTCCGTCCGTCGCGGCCATGGCGTACGCCAGCGATGACGGCTACGAAGAGCTCCACCTCTTCTTCTCGGTCGCCTGGTTCGACACCGGCTCATGGGCGTGGGCGCACTTCTTCATCGAGTGGGGCACCAAGGGCGTCTTTCAGGTGGGGCACCAAGGGCGACGACGGGGGAAGGGAGTATCCGGTCGCCGGCGGTGCCGGTAGCCGGTAAGTAGGTAGCCGATGAGCAAGTAGCGGGCAACGGGTAAAACTGGCAGCCCGACAAAAAAGTTGGTAAGCCGACAAAGCTGGATAGGCCGATAGCAGGTACGACGGTATTTATAGCCGGTGGCCGGTTAAGCCGGTATCTGGTAAAACCGGTAGCCGGTGGATCCGGTAGCTGGTAAAGCCGGTAGCTGGTAAAGCCGGTGGCCGGTGAAGCCGGTTGCCGGTGAAGCCGGTAGCCAATGAAGACGGTAACGCCGGTATCCGGTATCGCGGCAGCAGATGAAGACGGTAGCCAATATAGACGGTAAATGCGGTGGTAGGCGGTGAAGACGGTAACGCCGGAGGAGAGGGTAGCCGGTAAAGCCGGTAGCAGGAAAAAAAAAGCAGGAAAATTCGGTAGGTAGCCGATTGACGTTGTTGTGGTTGTCGATGTTGTCGTGATCGTCGCCGGCGTGTTGTTGGTGTTACTGTTTGTTTATGGGTGGTCGCACTTGATGTTCTTTGTCGTACGCTGGAACCGCAAAAAGAAAAAGCGTCGGTACGCGACGGCAGAACCAACCCATTGACCATTGTGCATCAGGCCGTCGGTCCACTTTCTTTCTCTCTCTCGCGGGATCTATCCGCCGCTTTGTTCGCGTGCAACCCACTATCCGGCTAACCGCCAACCAAGTAACACCGACCGACCAACGAACGTCGTTGTTCAGGGAGAGCGGCGCTTCTACCTCGCCGGCATGGTGGACGATCTCTTCCTCGCGACCGGGGTGTTCGAGTATGACGGCGACACCAACGAGGGGGCGGAGGTAGTTAACTTAACAAGTACAAGTATCAAAGAGGGGCGGCATTTGTTTGCGGATGATGATCCCTTTTTCCCTCCTGTTTGGTTCTCTCTCTCTCTCTCTCTCTCTCTCTCTCTCTCTCTCTCTCTCTCTCTCTCTCTCTCTGTGCGTCTCTCTCTCATTCTCTCCCTCTCTCTCATCCTCTCTCTCTCTTTCTTTCTCTCTTTCTCTCTTTCTCTCTCCCTCCCTCCCTCTCCCTCTCTCTCTCTCTCTCTCTCCCTCTCCCTCTCCCTCTCCCTCTCCCTCTCCCTCTCCCTCTCCCTCTCCCTCTCCCTCTCCCTCTCCCTCTCCCTCTCCCTCTCCCTCTCCCTCTTCCTCTTCCCTCTCTCTCTCGCTCAGAATTTTCGATCCCTTCTGCTGTCTACAAAACAGAGCGCCTCTTGTGCAACCTGCCTACTACCTCATCGCCCCATGATTTCGCGAGCAATTCGTGATTGCCCCCGCCCCCCCCGTCTTCCTTGGCGTCATGATCGTTGTGCCGCGTGCAACTTGTTTTCTTGGGGTATTAATCTTTCTGCAGGTACGGTTGACGAGCAGCGACATGAGCGCCTTCGCTTCGTTCGAGAGCAGCCTCAACTCGCAGTACGGCTCCAGCATCGTTACGGAGTGGCCCTTCAACGGACTGGGCATCCTGGAGGTGGTGAGTCAATTCGTCCCTTCGATGCCGAGGAAAATGTCAAAAAAAAAAAGTGGGAAAAGCTGAAACGATGCACAGCCATACCGGAGCGCACGAAAATGTTAAAAGTGCACAGCAAGTCGGCTGCCAAGTGAACATGCCGTGCACTTTTTTCAAAAAAGCACCGTTTGCTTCATCCGGCCGGTGAGTGGCGCGGAGATTCCGTATTGCAGGGTTCAATTGTGCACTCGTGATTGAGACAATAAGTTCTTGTGTGTTCTTGTGTGTTGGCACACTGATCGAACGAAACCACACACGCGCGCGAGAACTAAAAAATTGCCGAGGACGCCGCTGCTGGCTACCCCCAAACACCAGAAAACCTTAAATCTACATGTTGTATGATCCCCGGGCATCCTGTCGCTCTCTTTTTTTTCGCGTTGTTCTGCTTGTCGTCGTGTGTTACAGGTGGACTCCGCATTTGTCCTCGACATCGCGAACGCTGACATCGCGCTGCTCCCGAAGGGTCAGCAGGTCAGCGGCGACGGTAAGCTAAGCGCCTGGCAGTTTAATTCGTTGATCTTATCTTAATTTGTCGTACTTGGCCGTTTTGGGATTTTTTCAGTCGTTGTCGTCTTGGTATTATAGTGCTCTTTGTTGTTGCAGTCAACTTGCAACATCAACGCAGACGCCGGTCTAGCCTCCACGCAACAAACACGGGATGCCGCACTGGTGCAAAAAACACGCGCCTGCGTTCTTCCCGCGCGCGGCGATGGTTGTGTCTTGACCCCCCACCGTCCTCTCGAGGACGCGTGGTCA